ATGGAAATAGAAAATGAACATTGTTGTCACTACAACAAAATGATTAATGTTTGGTGAATATGGAGTGGTAGTCTCTTGGCACCAATGATAATGGTGAAGTCCTACTCAGGCGTGTTTGGGGGTGTATCTTGCTTTAACTGGGAAATTCTGAGTAAAAGTATATATAACTGGGCTGCAAATCTGCTATCACTTGCAGCAAGCTTTTGCTGAAGTTAAACCATTTGAGCTCTTGTTTCGAGAAGTTTTGATAGTCATGAAAAGCTGAAGACAAATTTGTGTGAGAGCTTTCTGGAAAGCATCGTCAACATATAACTCGACAAAAAAAAGAGAAATATCCATGTTGTTGATGTTCTTCTGGCTCAGGACTGCATGCTTTGCACTCTGTGCCTAGAGCCAAAGATTTGAATTACGGTATAGCTGCTGAAAGTGATAGCAATGAGCAGCAAAATGTTACAGTGCCTCTTCCTTTCTTTTCCCCTCCTTGTAGAGTGATTTATTGTACATTTATTGTCACTACTGTACTCTCCTTGAATTGGTTGGCAAGGAAAGATACACAGTAATCTCTCCAGTATCCTGAATGTTTAAAGCATATCCTGCTCCCCTGAGCTGCCACTGTCACAAAGGTCCAAAATGACCTTTGTCGGAAGATGTCCCTCAGAGCAGCAAACATCTAGTGATTTCTTTGCAGGCCTAGAAGATGGCTATATGCAGACATGGAGCCTGAATGGGGGTTGTACAGAGATCACAAGATGCATGTAACAAAGTCCCCCTGACAGCCCTTTCTCATTTTCTTCAGGACAGGTAGGTTGAGTGCTTTTGAGTGGAGAAATGGCAAGGTGTATGTGCTTAACTGCCCACCACTTCAGAACTCCAAATCACCCTTGGAACATTTTGGATGCCCCTATTTTCTTTGGAGAAATGTTGGAGGGTATGGCATTAAAGTGTGTTATATGGAATTGCTGATAAATGAGAGGATGTTATAAGGAGAGTGTGCTTGTTCTCTGTGTGTGTGTGTGTGTGGTGTTAGGAGGGTGATGCATATATTGTGCATATTCTAAAGAAATAGCCACGTGCTCTCTCAAAAGTATGTCTCTCTTCATTTCAAGATTTTAAAACTTGCACAGTGAAAAATGTGGAATCTGCTTATACACTCTGAGGATGCCTGGGAGTAAGCCCCATTTAAGCCTTACTTCTGAGTGTATAAATAGGATTATGGTGTAATGAGGCCTTCCACAAATGTATCTGAAACACTGTTTTAAGTGGGAACTGCAGTGATATCTCACTTACCCCATATCACTTATCCAAAACGTGAGGATATTTTGGTGATAAAGCCTGCATTGAAGCAATGAGAAGAACAAAGCCTACATGCAAATGTGAGCTTTATCTAGAGAAAGGACTTATAATTACTCTTAATTGTATCTTTAGAAGGCTGGTGGTGGTTTCACAGGCCTTTTCTGTTGATCCTGTTTGCATGTGTTCAAACTTGACACTTTTGCATACTGAATAAAAGAGCCCACGGGAACACAAGTGATACTGTGAATTATGGTAGAGCTGGAGACATCGTAGCTGGTAATTTGTCAATGTTGCTGTTTTCACCAAATGCATATTGTCTTTAACAACATTCAGAGTCCCTTTGAATTAATGTCGAATCATGCTGTGGGTCTCATATTTTCATTTGACACTGAACACTTGATCCCAGATGTGCACAGAGCAGAAAACCCTTGGCATCCTTTCCAGGAACCTGGGGTTTTTCCATTGGTTTGGAATGTGAGCCACTAGGCTCTTTGATTTCACTTTGTGGGAGGTTATAAGCAATGGCTGCAGAGGCTGCATAACACACACACCATACATTGAAAGCACACACCCTGCAAGAATCCTGGGAACTGTTGTTTACCCTTCACAGAGCTACAAATCCCAGCACCCTTAATAAATAACAGTTCCCAGTTTATTTGTGGATGTGTGCTTTCAATGTACAGTATGGTGTGTTTGAAGCCAGAGTCTAGTCCATCAAAGGCTTTTATATACAAATGCCTTACTCTGAGATCTGAAAACTATGCAGTATTATTCTTATTCTTATTCTTATTATTATGTGACAGTGGATTACATTAAGGCAGAGGATGTGCAAGTCTAATGAAGAACCAGTGAACTCATGGGTTGCTACCAGAACATGGTGTGTGCAACAAGGAAAGACATGCTTTGTCTGTGTCGTACCTCGTGTCACGTTCAGTCTCCAGTATCACCAGTTAGAGGAACTCAGATTACAGGATTGGGAAACTCCTCTGCCTAGGAAGCATCTGTCAGAGAAGACAGGACTGGGTTATACAGCAGGGCTGGAGAATGGGTTGCCCTCCAGATGTTGTTGGGCTAGAACTCCCATCATCCCCGACCATTGGCTTTGGTAGCTGGGACTGGTGGGAGCTGAGTTCCACAATGTCTGGATAGGCACAGGTTTTTCATCCCTGTACCGTAGGCTGACTTCAGTCTTGTATGCAGCCTGCTCCCCCCCTTTTTCTTTTGGTACTTGAATACCCAGTCCACCGAGGTGTTTTAAATTTACATAGCAAGGGTGCAGATAGAAGATCTTTAAACAATTACGGCATAATTGAACTGTGTTCAGCAACCCTGAGTATGCATTTGTGCTAAATGACTTCTAGAGGGATAATTACATTAGTGTGCTATACAGAAATAACAGTCTTGTGGCATTTGAAAGAGACAGGGACTTTTTCGTGATTTCTCTTAATCTTTGGAACTCCCTTCCTAGGGAACAGAAGTTAACAGACATTTTTTATTAAAGTCTGTTTTGGTTAATTAGAATATGCTGTGCTTTGAAACGTCATTGCTGCTGCTTATAAATTAGTGGGGTGTTTTATTCCTGCTGCATTTGTGTGTTTTGAATTGTGATGGCAGTGTAAGTCATTTATTTACTTAAGCAATTTATAACAAATTTCTTATGGCATAAGGCCAATAGAGGCCACTGTATCAGATGCATATCCTCAGTTGGCAGGCTTATTTATCTGTAAGGGGGGGGGTGATCAGGGAATGCAAAAAGTATTATTTGAATAACTTCAATTAAAGCTTAAATAATAAAAAAGTATTTTTTCTATATCCAATCAAAGTTCTTTCCAATACTACTTATCAACAGACACTGTGCAATCCACCAGAAATTGATCAATGATCCACTGGTGGATTGTGGTCTATCTGTTGACCACCCTAGAGACAGGCTGTTGTTCTACCTCCTCTATCAGAGACAGTAGGTCTATGAATACCAGTTGCTTCGCATGGGTATCTGGTTGACCATAAGAGTGCTGGAATGGATAGTCTTTTTGGCCTGATCCATCAGCTTCTTATTGTGTTCTGGCATCTCCTTATACAGTGGTACCTTGCAAGACGAATGCCTCGCAAGACAAAAAACTCGCTAGACGAAAGGGTTTTTTGAGCTGCTTCGCAAGACGATTTTCCCTATGGGCTTGCTTCGCAAGACGGAAACGTCTTGCAAGTTTGTTTCCTTTTTCTTAACACCGTTAATACAGTTGCGACTTGACTTCGAGTCGCAACTCATAGAACGTGGTGTGGTAGCCTTTTTTGAGGTTTTTAAAGACTTTGGTGATTTTTGAAGCTTTTCCAAAACTTTCCCGACACCGTGCTTCGCAAGACGAAAAAAATCGCAAGACGACAAAACTCGCGGAACGAATTAATTTCGTCTTGCGAGGCACCACTGTATGTCGCCTTATGGCAAATTCACACTTAAAGGTAAAGGGACCCCTGACCATTAGGTCCAGTTGTGGCCGACTCTAGGGTTGCAGCTTGCTTTATTGGCCGAGGGAGCTGGCGTACAGCTTCTGGGTCATGTGGCCAGCGTGACTAAGCTGCTTCTGGCGAACCAGAGCAGCGCACGGAAATGCCGTTTACCTTCCTGCCGGAGCAGTACCTATTTATCTACTTGCACTTTGACGTGCTTTCAAACTGCTAGGTTGGCAGGAGCAGGGACCGAGCAACGGGAGCTCACCCCGTTGTGGGGATTCGAACCGCCGACCTTCTGATCGGCAAGTCCTAGGCCTGCCTAAACTCTGCTACTTTGCACCACTGCTTGTAGCTGGATGATTTGAATTTTCCAAATCTCCTCCTGACTAGAGGCATCTGTCTAGCAAGTGTTGGGCTGTCCCATTTGGCTCTTCCCGGCAAGAGGAATGTGGTGAATGCCTCTGCAAGATGGTACATGACAGAACTGTTGCCCAGCTGTTATGAGGCTGCTGTTCCTCTTCTTCTTCTTTTTCCTTTTCGGCTGCAGAAACCAGCAGGCTACCAGGGCTTCGATTCCTTCCTGTTCTGCCACAGCACTGTTCCTTCCTCTTGCACTCATTTGCAATGCACGTTTCTTTCCTGCTGTAGTAGTAAACGGAGGCTGCTGTTGCATGGATATCCCGCGCGCTGTGCAAGATGCAAATAAAAACAGAAAATGCGGTGGTGGTGGAGAAGATGCAGATTACTTTGTGGGAGGCGCCAGAGGAAGACGGCCACACAGTTGCGGAACTCACAACTCTCCAAGGGAGGGCTTATCAATAGCCTTCTTTCACATACATAAAGGAGCTGGAGCTGTTGCACAAGAACAAGCGATGAGTCACAGCAAAGCAACTCAGAGGCCTCTCGATACTCGAATCCAGCGATGTGTTTTACTCTGGGCTGCTCACCCTTCCTGCTTCCCACATTTTTGGTGACAATTCCCACCCCCACCTTCCCGTCTGCATTTTGTTTTTGGCTTGCATTTGTGCAAACGGCAGGAAATGTCGTGGCGCTTCCTAGAGTAGCTGGTTCAAGTAGGGGCGCGCGTGCAAATCGTGAGTGCCTCGTTGTGCAAGTCCTGACAGCCCAATCCTATACGCCTTTTTAATCTGGATCGGGCGCAAGCCATTTATTGCGATTTTATTCCCATGCAATAACGTCGGGGGGGGGGGAATCCTGCGCAGATTTACTTGGGCCTAACCCCCCCCCCGTGAACGAAGGGGCACGTGCTTGCCTAGGATCGGCCTGCACCCCTTCAGGATGCAGCCGGGAAATTTGCGCTTCTAATCATATTGGTGGCCCTCCTAGACCATTTTCGCCCCCCGCGCCCCGTTCCATTTCCTGCGCCCAAATGTGAGTTTCCAGCGCTTTAATTGGGGCTTTTGTTTTGATGTGTCTCCCCCCCCCCCATGCAAAAATCACGCACAAGCCTGATTTACGGGCTTAGCCTATAAAAGCAAGGAGAGAGCAAAAGTAAACGTCCCTCCAAACGGGAAAAAGTCAGCACTATTCCTGGCAAAACAGCGTTTCCAGTAACGTGATCAGACTCTTTACCCCTGACCTTGTAGCCGCATCGAGATGCTAGCAATGCGTGCCAGAGCAACTGGATCTTCCTGGCAACCGAACCTTTTGGACGGACGGGCCCACTCTCTCCGACTCATAGCCACAGACGGGCATGCACGCACGCACGCAAGTGTTGAGTTACATGGGGTGGTTATTATATTATACATTAAAAAACAACAACTTTATTTGCCTTATATGGCCACAGGAAATGGGCGTGGCCTAGGCCTGCTCCCGGGTGGGGGAGCCTGAGCAGGAGCCAGTTGTGCTGATGAAGTGGAAGAGCTGGTTTTACTTCTGTTGCAGCAGGGCATGTGTGTTTTGCAGGAGGTGGCTGCTCCTAATTTCCTTTCCTGAGAGTTGTGCAATCTCTTGGTTCTCAGAAGGAGGCGGGGAGACGGGTGGGTGGGAAGCCAGCGCTCTCTGCTGTGGCTGCTGCTGCTGCTGCTGCAGTTGCTGCCTCCTTCGTAGCTAAGGAGCTTCTCTTTCCCCCTCCTCCTTCTCCTCCCTCCCCACCGCTCTGCTCCCCAAGCTGTGATCTCAAATCCTGTGACTCAGAGACTTGCAATCCTGACACTGCAACGTGCGGTTGGCGGCGGAGAGGGCAGCAGCACCAACAGCAAACCGGGGCTCTCCACATCCCGGGCGCCAGCGAGCAAATACTGCAGGACTTTGTGCGCAGAGAGCGAGCAACCGAGCAGGCTGACAACTTGTGCACGGGATCTTTGCAAGGAAACTTCCTGCATTCTTTCCAAGGGAGCCTTGAGGGGGGGGGGGTAGCGGGAAGGTCTGTTCCTCCTCTGTCGCTTGTTGCTTTTTGGATTTGGCACTTAAACCGTCAGCAGAGAAGCACTGGAGCGAAGAAGAGCGATGGGAACTCGCCTGGCTTTTATTTGGCGCTTGAGAACAAGGAGGTAAGTTTGAAAGCGAGAGGGGGGACGTCTGCACGGTCCGGAGCAGGGCCTCTGCTTTTCTTCCGCTTGTTCTTTGCAGCGCGGAGCTGGTGCTGGAAACCAAAAGAAGCCGCAGCGCGTGGGGAAGAAAGGGTGCTTGTGTGCTTGCAGCCGTGGAATATATATTTAGATTTGTTGCAATAGATATATTGCAAGGAGTGGATGGAAGAGTTAGAGTGGGGAGGGCGAATCGAGGGCTTTGGGGGGGAACTTTTTTGGGTTGCCTTTCCTGTTTTCTTTAAAGCCTGCCTGTCTGCCTCCTGCGAGCCCTGCGTTTTGCCTCACTCTTGTTTGTGCAGCTACGCAGTTCGGCGCTGCTCAGGGGCGGCCGCGGAAAGGAGGTTTCCTCCCTTCAGAACCGGGAAATGAGACGCAGGCTGAGTGCTCTCTCTCTCTCTCTCTCGTGTGTGTGTTTTGCAAAACGTTCCCTTTGTCAGATGGGAGCAGCTTCTAAACGGGAGTAAGAAGTGGAAAGAGGTGATTTGGATGGCCTTTGCTCGCTCTCCTGGTCATGAGATGGACGTTTTTCTGACCAAAGACGTCGCGCTTTCAAAACGACGCTGCCTCCATGCACTCCCCACCCTCCCGGTCGCCGCCGCATATAATTCACCCTAATCCTTTGCTCCTGATTAATGGGTAAATCCCGAAGTGGAATTTAAGCTATGCTTTGTGTCTGAGGGTGGAAGTCGTGCAAGATTGCCCTATCTGCTCTATCCCCCCTCCACTCCGATTTCCCTTCTCTTACCCCTGGTTACCACGGTATTTTAATGAGGAATTGCAATGCCAACTCCCCCCCCCTCCCCAAACACACACAAGCCAAAATCTTGGAACTCTCTCGTGCAGATTTTCCATTTTGTTAAGAGCAACGTGCACCGCCCCGCGCGTGCAGAGATGGGCCGCAAGTCTTTATTTACTAGTTTGGGGAGGGGGTGGCCTGCGAGTTTCAGAGCAGCAGCCGTTCATTCCCGTCCGGAAGCTTAAAAGTTGTGCTTGTGTAAGGTGGGTCCTGCATCTCATGCTTTTTGCAAGCATTGGGGTTGCAGAATGAGATAGTCTTTTTTAAATACACGGTGGTTTAGTTCCTAAATTCCCCACTTGTTTCAGCCCATATGGCTGGCAAACCTGTAGAATGTGCTCCCACGGGCAGCTAAGCCCCAGTGCGCTCATAAATTTTTAGAGAATGAGATAAGGGATGTGAAGGGAGTCAAGGTGGTGGTTTAAAGTCCAGGTGACTCCTGGGTCCCAGAACTGTGATCTCATCCTGCAATCCACCAGCTGCTGGAGCAAAAGTGGCAGCAATGTTGAAAGATATGTGTAATCACAGTCGTGGTGACTTGCCAGGGCGTATGGCCATAGTTCTGGCAGGTGACATCATCGAAGCTGTTCTAGTTCCTGTAGAAATCAATGAGAGAGCTTTGCTATTAACTAGAGGAGCATAATAGGTCCTTGTACTTGACAAGTGCTGCATCCTACATAAGAGGAGCCTGCTGGATTAGGCCAATTGCCTATTTAGTGCAGCATTCTGTTCTCATAGTGGCCAGCCAGGTGCCTGTGGGAAACCCCCAAGCAACTCTGCACATCTTCAGTTCTCAGCAACTGGTATTCAGAGGCATAATGCCTCTGACAGCGGAGGTGGGACATAGCTATCCTGGCTAGTAGTTCTTGATATGCACTGTGTGAACAAGCACTTCAAAATAATAAAATCTGTCCTGCATCTTCCAACATGCAGTTTAATTGGAAGCCCACAACTTCTAGTAGTTGTGTTTTGGCTCTGAGATGGGCAGCTTTCAGCAAAAGTATGTTTCTTGGGGACATTTGTGTAAAGGCTCATTTAGATGGTCTTATCTCAAGAGAATCTGCCTGTTTATACAGGAGAGGTATTGTCTTCTGATACACAGAATTAAATGCACCCCCCTTTTTTTTAAGCTTTGGGTTTCATGCCTTGCCCCGTGGTTGTATTGCATGTTCCTGTGCAATGTCTCTCATGTGTGCAGATGTGTCGATAAAGTTTGCTTTTGCCTAGGGCTGACTTCAGAATCACAGATAAATTCATTGATTGCTTCCAGGCTGCTGTAAATAGCACAGTTTAGGCTGAAGCAATACAGGAACTACACATGGTTTGACTTCCTCTGTGGTGGGCTAGCCCAAGTGATTTGGCCACACTCCATGCCAAAATTGCAGAGGATCCTTTGTAGACATGTTGCAGTGGAAATGTAAGGGTTTCTCGAGGGTAGAAATTTGGAAAAACACTACATTAAAGAAATAAGTCAACACCCCTTATTTTCCAGAAATAGGAACACTAGGAAGCCAAAGATATGCCTGAAGAATGGCCTTCAAGTACATTAACTCTTGTCTAGGCTTAGGATATGTGCTCACTGTTCTTAAGAACTTTTATCACCTTGTTGGGACTGCCAGGGAAATGTAATCAAATGCAGAAATCTGTTTAAAAGACTACTAGTGGCTTTGCTAAAATCTTAAACGTGTCTCCAAGCTTAGTATAAGTTAATTCAACCTTTGCCAACATGGTGCTTCCAGACAGTTTAGACTACAATTCCCATTGGTCCCAGCCAGCACAGAGTAGTAGTCCGTAGCACCTGGAGGGGGCCAAGTTGATGAAGGCTGTGTTCAGTACAGTAGTCCTGGGCAGACTGAGGTGAACCATTTACTTCTTGCACACTTAGTAACTTGCTGAACCTTTTATATTGAACTTGTTGGGATTGAGAAAGAGGTCCTTTATCCCTCCATGGGTGTGATTGCAATGACTTTTTAGTCTGTTCCTTTGTCTTCAGAAATTATGCAAACTACGCTGGCTTGAGGCTTTGGGTTACTAAAGAATGAACTTGATGACAGGATGCCTTATTATGTGGATGATGGGAAGGGGCCTGAATGGCAGAAGGCATGCAACTATGTATGTACTGGTAGAGTGCTTTGGCACTAATTGTGGGAACCTTTCTATGGCACAGAAGTCTCCAGATGCTGAGACATTAGGGTAACTTTTGATGAAGGAGGATAGTGGGCTGTTAACACAAGTCTTGCATCTCTATAAATTTGGAGTCGGTGGAATTGATTTGGGTGCCACAACACTGTCTCTTCTTCCTGTACACTTCCAGGATCTATCTGAATGTGCTGTCCTGGGTTCTTTTTTTGGTGACCGTTGCTCTCTACATGTCTGCATGACTTTTAGGTCTGCCCCTGCAGTATTCTCTAACCTTGCTCTTGTATTTCGTTGTGGATTTAAATCAAAGTGTATGGTTTTTCTAATTTGCATTTCCTGCCCAAGAATGCATACTAATTGGTTTACTGTAACAATGAAAGCATATTGGTTTGCAACTTGGTAAAGAGTTTTATACTTCCAGTTTATACGAGCATCATCCGAAATGTCTGGTCATGCAACCCACATGTCTTTTGTGCTGCACAATTTTTTTCTGTTTAGAGATCACTGTGAAATTATTTGATTTTTGTTCAAGTGTCTGTACAGTTGCAAGGATGCAAGACTGAAGAGAAGTCACAAGCCAGTGCAAAGTTACGTGTGCAGGATTGTGGGTAATGTTGCAAGGAAAGGCCGGTAATGATTGGACAAAACTGTGTTTCTCCATGAGATGGAAAGTAAATGTTTACACTGCTTGGTGTCCTAAATACTAATAATTTGCTGTAATAATTGATATACAGTAGTACCTCTGGTTACGTAAACTCCAGGATGTGAAACCCAGAAGTATTTGACTGGGTTTCACCATGTGCGCATGCACAGAAGCGGTCCTCAGGTTGTGGAAACCTCGGGATCCAACCGGACCTCCGGAATGGATCCCGTCCGCAACCGGAGGTACTACTGTAATGCATGAATTGTTTCATTATATTTACAATTCCTGGCTTGAAATCAGTTACAGTGGTGCCCCGCAAGACGAATGCCTCGCAAGACGGAAAACCCGCTAGACGAAAGGGTTTTCCGTTTTTGAGTTGCTTCGCAAGACGAATTTCCCTATGGGCTTGCTTTGCAAGACGAAAATGTCTTGCCATTCCCCCCCCCCGCTTCCCCCCTTTTTCTAAGCCGCTAATAGCCTTTTAGCAGCTCAGCCGCTAAGCCTTTAATAGCCGCTAAACCGCTAATAGTGCTAATCCGCTAAGCCGCTAATGGGGTTGCTTCGCAAGACGAAAAAACCGCTAGACGGATTCTTTTCGTCTTGCGAGGCACCACTGTATTATTCACCATTATTTTTAATTTTTTCCATAGAAAAGCAAACTGCAAATCTGTTTGATTAAAGGAGCATAAGCTGAATGATAAGATTCGAATTTAACATTTGTGTTGGCTTTGTTTAAAATGGAACCATAAAAAAATACTTATTATAACTGAAATGTAAAAACACATTAAAGTATTATTTAACAAGTGACTTTTAAAAATAAAATAATTATTTATTAACCTTGATTGTATTTGGATTCCCTGCAATAGATCTCATGAAGAGAGCTCTTAGTATGTAATCTCAAAATGGTCAGGAATGTGGTATGAATGTTCCTAGTTTCTCATCAGGGGAAAATCCATTCCGAGATAAGAATAATTTCTGTAGGCCACAATTGTTGGGCATTGGTGGAACTGTGAATCATGTGCAGAGGTGGGAGTGCTCACCTGTAGCACTGTGGCCTGGCTTGCTAAGCAAGTCATCTCATAGTTGATGCAGTTATACACAGAAAGACTGTTGGCCTTGAGCACATAGGAGCTGTAATTGGTTCTGATAGTTAAAAATAACAAAGACTAGAATTTAACAAAAAAAAAAAAAAAAACAACCTGCATTCGATAAAGGCTCTGAACAAGAATGCACTCATCGAGCTTTCAGTGTGGAAACTTAATTTTCAGATTTTTATGATGCTGGCAACTTTCAAAACCATTTACCCTATTCCTGGCCTAGCGGCCATGCAGATAAACATTGTAAAATTTGGTCACTTGCATGGGGCCAAGTAGAACGTTGAAG